GGGAGTAGAAAGCCTCATCTTTCTCCCGTGGAGTGGCTGGTAGTTTCGAACCGCTGACCTTAAGGTTCGCAGCCCGATTCGTAGCCACTACGCTATAGTGCTAAATAGACTGAAGTAAAAAATGACTTCAAATATTGAAAAAGTGCTATGGAAAGAAGTTAGCAAATTTCAAGGGAAAAGAGAAGTTAGGTCCCCAGCTACCCCCTAATGTGTATTTAATCAACAGTACAACTGACCAGTAGAGCTAACAGAAAAAGAAAATGATTTCTTTTCTACTGATTGTTGTTGTAGTATCATCGTGTCAGTTTTGACTCCTACTGACCCTGTGTAAGGTTTCCAAGGAGCTGCTGTTGAGTTTGAAGCACTGACCTTGTGGTCCAGTGCTTTATCCCACAGCGCCACACCACGATGAGAGCTGGCCTGATGTAACTGTGCAGGGATATGGGTGTTCTCTGCTACATTTCCACCTTCCTTCCTGTGCTTCTGCCTAACCTGTCCACAGCTCCCCGGCTGACTCACGGTATCTTAGGTGGAACGGAACACACACTGCCCGTGTCCAGTACTGTCTTGGAGTGTGTGAGCCCACTCCAATATTTACTGCCCCTCTCTAGTTACAAAGTTTATCTTCTAATTTTCAGAGTTAATTCTGAAAACAAAGTATAAAGGCAAAACAATGACCTGAAGTCTCACTACCTCCAAATAACCATTATTAAGACATTCATGCATATTTTTATACATTTGTACATTTTAAAAGTTAACTTTAACAAAGATCCATTGACATCGAGTCAATTGACTCACAGCGACCCTGTATAGGGTTTCTGAGACTGTAAACCTGTTTTTTAACAGTGCACTTCCTTGCCCTGTGACTGCTCTCACACCTAGTCCTCTATAAGGGAGCCTGGAACCAGCATCTCCCTGCAAGTACCAAGCTGCTGAGAATGTTTACTTCACCACTCAGAAGCCTAACAAGAAGACAAATGAATCTGAATATTAATGTGAAAGGATGCAGCGAATTAGGGACACAGCTGATTAAAAGTTGAGCAGTCACAAAAGACAACCTGGAGACCAACAAGAGCAGGAAGACATAGCCATTGGTGGGCTGGGAGGACAAAGACAAGCGGTGGGCTGATGGTCGCCCGGTGGCTAAGAGCATCTAACAGAGGCTCATTCAATGGTGAAGGGGAAGGGATAACATCCACTGGAAACTGAGCCACACTGCTGCTGCCAGGGCACGGCCCACAGGACGTGGGAATGCAAAGAGTGAAGTGCCTGGACTTTTCACTTTCTCCCTGTTCCAGGCTCCTGTCACAGTCTCACATTGGCAGAGTCCAGCCATCGCAGCCTGAGAGGCACAGCCTCAAGGGGAGTGACCCCAAGGAGGGCAGGGTCAGGACTGGCTCTGAGGGCGACAGGCACAGCACTCACACAGTCCTTGCAGCAATGTCAACAAGGAACAAGAAGCAGAAGAGGACAGAGAGGTCACCTAGACCCAGAAGCTGTTTCTCAGCAGGAACCACGTCTCCCAGGTGGCCATGCTCTGCCCATGAGGCAGCTACTTCTCCAGGCAAGCTGGACTTCTCAGACCTCCAGTGAGCCAACGACTTCATGCTCCTCCAGTGGGCTACTAGTGGCTTTTCTGGTCTAGAGCATCAACTTTCTGTAACAAAAACCCCACGCAGTTATCACTTATATAGAAGCCAATTTGTTCTCTAAGAACCATACAGCAATGAATTCATATTGGCTGAATGACACATGCATGCCGGGGGTGGGGCCCTGGATTTGTGCTGTAGAAGAAGCACCAGACTGCTACATGGTACCACCACTTGTCTGTCACGTTTGTCAGACTGTGGTGACTTGTGTGTCACTGTGATGCTAAGTTATGCTTTCGGTATATTGAAGACCAACAGGGTTAGTTAGCCAGGGTCAACAGGTTTCAGCTGAAATTCCAGACTGAGATAGCAAGGAGGAGAGGCCGACTACTTCTGAAAGTTTAGCCACTGAAAACTTTATGAACAGCAGTGGAACACTGTCAGATGTAGTGCCGGAAGGTGAGCCCCTCAGGTTGGTAGGCACTTAAAAAAATTACTGTGGAAGAGTTGCCTCCTTAATATAGAGTTGACCGTGATGATGCGAATGGAGTAAAGCTTTCTGGACCTTCATTTCCTAATGAGGAACATCTCAAAATGAAGAGAAAGAGCTGCAAACATCCATTCATTAATGGAATGTACGAAGTATGAATACAGGAAAACCGTAAGTTGTCAAAAATGAAATGTAATATATAAAGATTAATGTCCTAAGCAATGAGTTGAAATGGACTGGTATTGGTCATTATGAATCAGACAATATGGTTTACTATGCTGGGCATGACAAACTGAAGAGGAATGGCATAGCATTTACCATCAAAAAGAACATTTCAAAATCTATCTTGAAGTATAATGCTGTCTGTGATAGGATACTATGCATATTCTTACAAGGAAGACCAGTTAATACAAATATTATTCAAATTTACACACCAACCACTAAAGCCAGTGATGGTAAAATTGAAGAATTCTGCTCTGGTAGTGTAGTAGTTACGAACTGGGCAGCGAACCTGAAGTTTGGCAGTTAGAAACTACGAGCTGTTTCGCAGGAGAAAGACGAGGCTTTCTGCTCCCGTAAAGATTTACAGCCTCGGAAACCCCGTACAGGGTCACTATGAGCTGGAACCAACTCCACGGTACATAACAACAACAACAAAAACCAATCTGTGAACTCTGAGATTGATCCAGATGTATTGATAATTACTGGTGACTGGAATGCGAACGGAAACAAAAGACAAAGGATCAGTAGTTGGAAAACAGGGCCTTAGTGATAGAAATGCTGCTGGAGATTTCATGAGAGAATTTTGCAAGACCAACTTATTCATTGCAAATACCTTTTTTAAATAACACAAAAGGCGATGATTATACACACGGATCTTACCACACAGAGTGCATGTGACTACATGTGTGAGAAGAAATGGTAGAAAAGCTGTGGATTATCAACCATAACAAGGCCAGGAGCAGACTGTGGAACAATCAACTGCTCATATGCAAGTTCTGGCTGAAGCTGAACCAGTCCATGTGAGCTAAAACATAACATTGAACATATCCCACCTGAATATAAAAACAGATTTGATGCTATTAGACATTAATGACCAAAGACCAGAAGAGCTGCGGGATGACATCAAGAACAGCATACAGGAAGAAAGCAAAAGGTCATTAAAAAGACAGGAGAGAGAGAAAGACCAAAATGGTTGTCAGAAGACTTTGAAACTTGCTCTCCAGCAGAGATGTTAACAAGGACGTAAAAGGGCTCAACAGAAAACTGTCAAAGGGAAGCTTTAATACAATGAAATGCACTAAGACCTGGAGTTAGAAAACTAAAAGGGAAGAATGTTCAGCATTTCTCAAACTGAAAAAACTGAAGACAAAAAATTCAAGCCTCAACCTGCAATACTGACGGATTCTATGAGCAAAATATTGAATGGGGCAGAAAACATCAACAGACAGAAAGAATACACAGAGTCTCTGCACCAAAAAGAAATGCTCAATGTTCAGCCATTTCAAGAGCTAGCGTATGATCAAGAACTGATGCTATTGTAGGAAAAAGTCCAAGCTGCACTGAGGACACTGGTGAAAAACAAGGCTTCAGAAACTGATGGAATACAAATTCAAAACTGTCTTAAAACTGATGCAGCACTGGAGTTACTCAAGAAATTTGAAAGACAGCAACCTGGCCAACTGATTGGAAGAGATCCATATTTATGCCCGTTCCAAAGAGAGGTGCCTCAACACACTGTGAAAATCATCAAACAATGTAATTGTCATCACATGCAGGTAAAATTTGCTTATAAAATTCAAAAACAGTTGCAGAAGTGCACCCACAGGGAACTCTTGGGAATTCAAGCCAGACTCAGAAGAGGATGTAGAATGAGGGCTATCGCCTCTAACGTCAGACGGATCTTGGCTGAAAGGAGAGAACATCAGAAAGATATTTATTTGTGCTTTACTGACTATCCAAAGTCCTGGTGTGGTGCTGTGGGTTAATGCGCCAGACGCAAAGCTGTTTGAACTGTATGAACTGCAAGGTTGGCGGTTCAAGCTCACCAGCTGCTCCTTGGAAACCCTACACAGGGTCGCTATGGGTTGGAATCGACTTGATGGCACTTAACAACAAAAGGCTTTGGAGTGTATGAAATATGTCAAACTACAGATAACATTGCACAGACTGGGTAATCCAGAACATTCAGTTGTTCTCATGAGGAAACTGTACATAGACCAAAAAGCATTCATTAAACAGAATACAGGATAATGAATGGTTTAAAATCAGGAAAGGTGTGCGCCAGTGGTGTAGTCTTTCACCATACTTATTATTCAGTCTGTATGCTGAGCAAATAATCTGAGAAGCTGGGTTATATGAAGTACATTCCTGTCTCCAGGAATGGAGGAAGACTCGTTAACAACCTACAATATGCAGATACAACTGTGCTTGAAGGAAGGGAACAGGACCTGAAATTCTAATGAAGATGAAAATGGGGCCAATAAATAACACCATGACAAATAGAGAAAAGATTGAAATTGTTAAAGACTTCATTTGCTTGGATACACCATCAACACTCATGAAAGCAGCAGTAAAGATATCAAATGACGTACCACATTACTCAAATCTGTTGCACAAGACCTCTTTAAAGTGCTCAAAAACAGATGTCAGTTTGAGGACTAGGGTGCGCCTGACCCAAGTCGTGGTCTTTTCAATAGCCTCATATGCATGTGAAAGTTGGAAAGTGAATAAGGAAGACTATAGAAGAACTGATGCTTTTGAGTTATGGTCCTGGAGGAGAACATCCACAGTATCATGGATGGCCAGAAGAACAAACAAATCTTTGTTGGAAGAAGTACTGACAGAATGCTAATGCTCCTTAGAGGCCAAGATGGCAAGACTTCATCTTTCATACTTCAGATACATTATTAGGAGGGTCAGTGAAAAAGAGGGAGACCCCCAACAAGACGCGCTGACGCAGTGGTGGCAGTAATTAGCTCAAAGGTAACAATAATTGTGGCAGTGTTTCATTCTACTGTGCATACGATCTTTATGTATCAGAACCAACTACACGGTGCTAACAACATACTTCCCTAGATCGAAATCGTCATTTTAAGCCTCTTCTCCAGTTACCTGTGGCCGTATAATTGAGATGTGGCCAGAGAGATTTCTGTGGAAATCGGTTAGGCCATTTCCAAGTCGTGCTCTTCGTGATCTCCAGCTAAGCATGCCCTTTGTTCCTTCCTGCTGACTTGAATGAGAACCTAACTCAGCAAGCTGGAGCATTTAACAACACTTAACAACATCACAACTGCTCAACTCTGCCACTGTAGGACGAAAGCAGCCACACACAACACAAATGAATAATCAGGGCTGTGCTCCAAGAAAGTTTGTTGTTGTTGTTATGTGCCATGGAGTTGGTTCTGACTCATAGCAACCCTGTACAGGGTTTCCAAGGCTGTAAATCTTTATGGGAGCAGAAAGCCTCATCTTTCTTCCACGGAACAGGTAGGAGTTTCAAAATGGTTAAGCGTGAGATTAGCAGCCCTATTCATAACCACTACGCCACCGGAGCTCCTTAAGAAAAGTTTATAGGCCATAATTTCTGAGTTCCATATAACTTTCTCGTATCACAAAATATTATTTTTTATCTTTTTAGAACTTTAAAAAATATAAAACCCCTTCTTAGTTTGGGAGCTGTACAGCCTCGGAAACCTTGTACAGGGTCCGCTATGAGTCGGAACCGACTCCACGGCACAGAACAACAACAGATGGCAGTCAGATTTAGGCTAAAGGTCACAGTTTGCTAACCCTGGTTTAGGGAAATATTTGCTGAATCTCTTTTGTGAAAATGACGTTGCTCCTGAGACAGTACCAGGCAGATAACAGGCATTTAACCAATGTTTCTGGAATGAATGAGCATAGGACACACGCTGCCCAGAAACAATGGGACGTGCTAGAGTAGAGGGAAGAGACATCTCACCCTGCCCAGAAAAATGGGTGAAGATTTACTGAACACCAAAGGAGAGGGTGTTAGCCAACAGCAGTAAGTGTCAAGGATGGCTGGAGAGTAGATAAAAAATTGCGACAAACAGAACATGTTCAAACACCCTGAGGGAAAAGACAAGAAGCTGCCTGAGTATTTGAAGACAAATCCCACGACTAGAGCACAGATGTGGAGGCGAAGTACTGCACCAGGGCCTGGACATGAAGTGGGACCATCCTCAAAAGCAGGGCAATGAGGCCCCAGGTAAAGGAGGTCAAGCAAGCGACTGGCATGACTACATTCTCAATTTATAAAAATGGCTCTGGCAATGGTGTGGGCGGATGGGAGGAAGGTAAGAGTGGAGGCAGAGGGTCATTCCAAATGCCCTCTTCACCATGGAGATGGCTCCCATCTGCCTGGTTGGAGTCAACTGTTTTTGTATCCGTTCTTTAAATCTTGGTATGTATGCTATTTTCCAGAACTAACAGAAAGCTGTTTTCTACTTGTTTTCATGTGGTTCCTTTAGGGTACACTTTTTAAACTACAGGAACCAGGCCTTACTCATCTTTGCATGCCGCCCCCCAGCACACCTAGCATAGCAATTTGCTCATAAAGATCTGTAGTACACAAATGCACCTGGTTGGAAGTAATCTGGGACCATACCAGATGCACAGGCAAATTGAAAGCAGCTAACTTGACGGGATATATTCATTCAAGACTGCTAGAATACCACAGATCAGGTCACAAAGTACCACACAACTGGACAGGGCTGTCACTCTACCCACTTCCCACTGTGTCCTGAGAGGATGCGCAAGAACCTCACCGGCATGGGAATCTTCGAGAGTTCCTTCCCAATGCAGTTCTTCATGATGCTCCACAGGTTGAGGCTATAGTTTGGCTTGTATGGTATTCTAGTTCTCTTTTCCTTCTTTGTCTCCTCCAGCTGATGTTTATTCTGAGATCAAAAGCAAAGCCATTCAGTCAGAGAAAACATCACATTCATAGCTCCCCTTCCCATTACAAGCAAATCTTTGGGAAGCACATACACCAAGTCCCTCACCCCTGACAACCCCCGTAGAAGAGCTACCTGTTCATCAAGGCTGATGTCACTGCTGGCTCCACTGATATTGCTGCCGGTTCGTCTGCATGAATGGGAGACGCAAGAGAATGAAACCAAGGGCAGACTAGAGATCTGGTTCTACACGTTTCTTTATAAAAGCAAAATGGAAGGCCAAAGGCCATCACTTAGAATATAACATGGGGATTTAAGCTTCTCTGGGGAACCTATTCATGTGAAAAAGGTGGTAGCTTTCCACTTACTCAAGAAAAGAGGCCTCGGCATCTCAGTCAGCATTGACAATAACGGCCCTCCCACCTCGATGTCTCTAAGCTCCCGTGGGGCAGTTCTGCTCATTTTCTCCAGGGCTCAAGGGGAACTTACTTGTGGCCCAAATTTTCAGGCATGGTGATGATCTCAGGAGCATCAAAAAATTCCGTCTCTTCTTCCTCATCACTCATGTCTCCTTTGCTAGAGCAGCACTGATCTACAAGGAGAGAAGCCTTATTCAGTTATTTAGGCTATGTTCACCAAATGTCTGGCACAGCGGGATCTGGTACAAACACTTTTAACAAATGATAGAAAAATATGGAAAAGCCAGAGAAATAAACGGCCCCAATTCCAGTTCACAGAAGCCATGGATTCTGGGTAAGTGGACTTGGTCTACCAAGTGTTTAGTGTTGGACTGCCAAACAAAAGGTTGGTGCTTGAACCCAGCAACCATTCCAGGGGGAGAAGATGAGGCGTTCCTGCTTCGATCAAGACTGACACTTGGAGACCTAGGGAGGTTCTAGTCTACTCTGCAGGGCAGGGATGACTTGGAACTGACCCAAGAACAGTGGGTTCCATCAAGGGCAGACAAATAACTTGACTTGTTTCAGAACCTGCAACCAAACTGAGCTCCTTACCTTTCCCAGCACCAGCACCTCCAGGAGTGTTCGCCGGCAGTACAGTGGCCCCTCGGAAGGCCCTCTCCAGGTGGTTGTGCTGCTTCGCAAGCTGTTCGAGGGTCTCTTCCAGTCGGATGCGCTGGTCTCTTTCATACTGTAGTGACTTCTGCCATTTTTTGCTATGGGTCTGGGCTAACATGAGGAAGTCTCTGCAGGCCTGTTCAGAGAAAGCATAGATAGTTACGTCTCAGTTCAACTCAACTCGTCTGAGGTTCCTCTCAAGCCACTGGCTTGAGTATGCGAAACAATCTTACTCTGGGAACTTTCACTGGAAAATTCCAATGAAAGCCTGTGCCTCTTACTCCACAGTATCATTGACAGCCAACTCCGTGCTGTAAGCAAGGTCAATGCCCGGAAAAAGTGCACACGGTTGTCATGGCTCTTTAACATTTTCCTGGTCAAGCGAATGCCAAGTGAGCAGTAAACCCAAACAAAGTATTTATGGCAGCAACACAGAGGGCAAGGATGTGAACCGCACAGAAAAGCCAAAATCTCCTGACTGACAATGAGCGGGAAACACAGCTTGGGATGACGACGATTTCCAGTAAAATCTCGATGAAATGGCAGTCTTAGCTAAATGAAGTCTCAACAAAAATCAAGGTGAGGAAGTGACACTGAGAACAGAGTCTGTACTCATACCAAATAGGAGGAAGTTTCTTTTAATGATACTGTGGTAACAGAGAAACAAATGACCTTAAAATCCAGGTACCACCTCCCTGTAGGATCTAAGAGAAAAAATTACTCTGATCAAATCCATCCTGTAAGTAGCTCCCCACTGATACTAGGACCAAATCCTGAATAATGGTTATTTGCAGAAAAAAGCCCTTCACAGTATGACTCAGCGGCCTTTCCAGCCCCTCCTCCAGGCATACCCATCCCCGCACTGTAATCCCAGAAGCCACTCTAAGCTGCTCACCATTCTTTTGGGCAGGCAGATTTCTCCCAGCCTAACTGCCCCTGCCTAGAATCTCTTCTTTACTTGGCCAAGTGGTCTTCATTCTTCAAGACCTAAGCAAACGTTACTTCCTGTGTGACTCTTCTCGTTCCCATAGTACTTTGCACCCAATTCTATTCTATTCTATTCAAGACAGTGTTGTGGGTCCCAGCAGCCCTGTGAGGCACTCACAGTGTGACTAGAGTCAGCACTGGCAGATCAGAAGGGAGGTTAGAGAGAAAGTGGGTTGCCCTAGGTTATAGCTGGAACCAGGGTCCAAGCTCTGTACCGCCCCTCTTGACTAAGGAAACGTTCCCGGGTTCTCCATTATTTACTTGGGGTGTTACCTGTTAGGATTCTCCTGGACTCAACCACACATTTGCACTGCGAAGCCTGTGTTCATTTTTATCACGGTACTTATTTGTAGTCCATAATCATCAGTTTACATCTCGGTCTCACACCCACCCCCTGACTCTGATTAGACAGAACTCTTTGACTGTAGGGACCCTGTGGGCATTGACTTTATATGCCCTGGCATGGTATCTAGAACATGACAGTAAAACCCAACCCACTGCTGTGAGTTAGTGAGTGACCCTGTGAGGAGAGCAGAGCAGAGCAGCCTCACAGGAATTCCACAGCTATGAATCTTTCCAGAAGCAGACAGGCACACCTTTCTCTCACGGAACAGCTGGTGAGTTCAAACCGCCAAGCTTTCGGTTCATCACTAATGCCACCAAGGCCCCTTACCCAGGACACAAAAGGTCTTCATAATTGTGCAATGAATTAGTGGGCACTGTAAGATAAGTACTGGACTGCGAACCACAAGGTCAGCAGTTCAAACCCTTCAGCCGCTCCCTGGAAACCCAGTACAGGGTCACTATGAATTGAAACTGACTCAATGGCACTTAACAACAATACTCAGGTTGTCAAGTTGATTCTCAGTAACAGACACACAGACCAATGTAATACAGTTATTGTGACCCTGCACAGGGTTTCCAAGGAGCAGCAGTTGATATTAAACCGCCAACCTTGCAGTCCTGCACAATAAAACATTTAAGAACTCAAAAATAAATCCATCCACCTATGGACAGTTGATCTTTTGACAAAAGGCTGAAAGATGTCAAATAGGGAAGAGAGTGTCATTTTAATGGTCCTGGGTTCTTAATTGGTCTATGGTAGCATAGTGGTTACAAATCAGGCTGCAAATCTCATGGTCAGCAGTTCGAAACTACCAGCGGTTCTGCGGGAAAGAGATGAAGCTTTCTACTCTCATAAAGATTTACAGCCTCGGAAACCCTGTACAGGGGTCGCTATGAGTCGGAACTGACTCCACGGCACTTAACAGGTCTATCTGGAGTCCTGGTGTAGAATCACAGGACAGGCACTTGACCTCAAGGTTGGCGGTTCAAACATACCAGCTGCTCTTCAGAAATCTTATACGGGGGCGCTATGAGTCGGAACCTACTCCACAGCACTTAACAATGGGTCTATCTGTTCTAACTACTGTGGCTATGGAAGAGGTTTGCTTTGAGCTTGGGAAGTGTGATGTCTCTCACTTTGTTGCTTTCTTTATTACTGTTTTGCTTATCAAAATTTCCTTCCTTTCAAAGTTGTTCCATTTTTCCAAAGTTCATTTTCAAGATGCACATTATACTGAAGGCCTTGCCAACATCCCCTGAAAGGATCAAAGTAAGGAACCCTGACACTAGAAATACCCTCCCTTTGAAGGAACACAGGCAGCACCCCAAAAGAGAAGAGCATGAGAGAAGAGAGCTTCCCTCTGACTTCAAAGGAGTCATTCCCTCTAACAGAAACTCCAGCCATGGAGAACTTGGGGAAGAACGGGCCCAAGGAACAAAGATGAGTCTATTTTCCAAAGGTGTTTTATTTAGCACAGATCAAAGATCACATGAATACTGGGAGACCATTGCTTCCCAAGTACTTCTATTTGAGCAGTATTATTTATTGACTCATTGGCCTGTATGATTTATGAGGCTGTACTGATTGATCCCAATGGGACCAGAAAAGACAGACACATAGTCACTACACACAAGTATCACTGACAACTGGCAGGATGACCCTGGAGTATTCAAGCTCCCTGCAATCGTTTCGCATTGCGACATGCAAAGGGCTCAAACCTAAAGAAACTGAAATGAAAACAAAAGTGATGACAGTCTGCTGTCAAGAAACAAAGGAGTTAATGGAGAGAATAGATTTCCCATAGCCACAAGAAAAGTCCCTTTATTTGTAGGAGGCACATGAAAGAAGTTAGCTCTAGAAGTAGTATTATTACTACCCAAACAAGAGAAGGAGTCCTGGTGTGGCGCGGCATAATACACTAGACCTCAAGGTCAGCAGTTCAAACCCACCAGCTGCTCCTCTCAGAAACCCTACATAGGGTTGCTATGAATTGGAACCAACTTGACGGCACTTAAAAAATAAACGGGGATCCAGATTAAGAGTTCCCACATCCATGTATAAGTTCCAGGACATGATACACTTATTGGCAAGGAATATTTGTGGAAATGAAAGAACAAATGATTATAGAAATAAATAAATAAATAAGTAAATGGGGGAAATCTGGCCCTTGCAAGATAATTTCAGGTCATTTAATTAAATGTGGAAAGAAAGGGAAAAAAAAGCTGCAAATACTCTTCTTACCAGCTTATAAAATTACTTCTACAGGTTTTAATGTTTGAAAACCAACTGAAACAACCTGCCTGGTAAGAAGCAGTCACTGGCAGAGGAAAACAGCATGGTTAAGCCATTCATTTCCTACTGATGACTGTGTATCTGAAATAGTATCAGTGTTAACCTGGAGACTTTCACCCAGGCAGCTGAAGTGTTCCACAAATCCTTAGCAGTACCTGAGGAGGGACTCAAAAGAGGGAATCATAAGGAGGTGGAAACTTTGGCTCCTCCTTTTGCAAACCAAGGACTAAACATTGAATTGTTGTTGTTGTTAAGTGCCATCAAGTTAGTCAACTCAATAAAGGATTTCCAAGGAAAGGCGGTGGGTTTGAACCGCCAACCTTGCAAAGTTAGTAGTCCAGTGTTTATCTCCTATAGTGCCACACTAGGACTCCAGTTAAAACATGGGATTAACTAGTAGTAAAAGTCTCTTGATCTACCTCCACACCACAGGCAAGAATATATTAACAAAGTAGCAGTAACACGTCAACTTACAGTTCAAAGAACACGAGAGGTGAAAGGACCTTAGAGATCTTGGAGACCTAGCAGATAAAGTTACACTAACAACCAACAGCCCAGAGTCATTTACAACACTGACCTCCTCGCTGGCTTCCAGGCTGGAGCCAGGGAGCGCCAGCTCCACACAGCTGCCCTCCTGACTGCCCGAGCAGAACGTGAAAGTTGTTTCACCTGCACAGCCTGCTATAGTTCACACAGCAAACAATGGAATGTAAATCCCCGGAGCAGTGAAGCAGGGCCTCCTGTTCGGTGCTTCACCTGATTACATCTGGGGAGAGTTACATTTCAAAAAGGGAAAAGAAAGAGCCAACAGGCACAGAGCTTACGTTGATCATGGCATTGGATGTTATCCGGAAGAGGGTGGCCCGTTCGTTGACCTGTTTGATCTTCTCGTTGCTCTCTGCAGGCAGTCTCAGGGACTCCAGCTCGCTGAGGGAGCGTTGCAGCGCGGTGCCGTGCTTGGCAATCAAGTCATTGCAGGTGCTCAGGTCCTCCACTTTACTGGAGAGGGTCCGCAGGGTATTCTGCAGCTCGGTCTTGTCAGTTTGGGAGACGGATTCTTCATCTCCTGATTCATCTGGAGACGTGAAAAGGCAAGGGAACAGGACAGAGTGTCAGAGGCCGGCCAACTCTGCCCACAGCCAAACCGGACACGCCCCATGGTGTGCATTCTGAAGGAGAGGGTGCACCGAGACCAGGCGATTTCACTACAGTGTGGTCCAGATACCATCAGAAACACCCATGGGGCCTATTAAAGATGCAGTCGCGAGTCCATCCCCAAAGACTTTGATTCAGCAGGTGTGAGGTGAAGTAAGGCCCGGGCATCTGCATCTCCAAGAAGCTGCCCTGGTAGTTCTGAGACCTACGGACCTAGAGGCCAGGATGGAGAGGTGGACAGGCCCCTGGGAGTGAGTTCCTGAACCTCTCTGCTGGCTGGTTCCAATCCGGTTTAACTAACAGTTCATGCAAACTGCTGATATTAGGTGGTCTGAACCTCTCAATCTAGCTCTTTTCGACAAAGGCCATCATCACTAAATAGCTCATTCACGCCTATCTTTCATAAAGGCGAACTCACTTGACACTAATGCCAGCATGAAAGCAGTACACAGGCATGATCCTGAACTAAGTCACGGAGAGCAGCTAAGTCGTCCCTCTCACTGTTAGTTTTGTACTTCACACTCTGTACCTGCAAAGTGCTTTCCTAGCAGTGCCACTTCCTTCAGGAGGAAAATATCAGCAGGGAGGCAAAGCAAAGGAAATAATGAAGGACCTGCCCTATTTGCTAGACAGAGAGGTGGGATCAAAGTCAAAATATAACCTGTTACAAAATAAACTGACAATACAGCAGGCTTTCTCTGTTCTGCTTAATAAAATGCAGAAAATTTAAATAAATAGCAGCCCAACATTCAGCAGGTTACTATCTTGGCTGTAAATAAGCTAATGTGATTAAACTATTCACATCTGACTACTTAAAGAAGTAAATATAGCGAAATTAAGACCTTTTTTCTTCCATAGAAAGTATCACATACAATGACCAAGGCAGACTATCAAAATTATTAAGGAGTCTAGGTGACTAAGTACTCAGCTAGCTGATTACCAAAAACTCGACAGTTCAAATCCACCCACCTCTCCATGGGAAAAAAGACCTGGTGACCTGCTCCCATACAGATGACAGCCTGAAAACCTTTATGGGACACTTCTGCTCGATCCCATAGGGTACCTGTGAGCTGGAATCCACCCACCTAAACAGTTCCAACTTAACTAACAGTTACAAAAGATGTCAGGAGAAAACCACGAACCGATTCAAATGATGGGTTAGAATAACCCTAAACCTGGCCTAATGGATAAAAAGTTATTTCTCAACTTTAAGCTAGTCAATTGGTACAAAAAGCAAAAGTACCACTATTACACCTCGAGGATAAGACTTTCCCAAGCTTGGCCCTATAGACATTTACGGTCAGATAAGTTGTTGTAGAGGAATGTCCTGGCCATTGTAGGAGGTTTGGCAGCATCCAATAGATAGCAGTGCTGCAAACATGTCCTCCTTTACGCACAGCTATGACAACCAAAACTGTCTCCAGACATTGTCAAATATCCCCTAGGGGTAAAAACCCCCGCCTAAAAATCACCACTCCAGGAGAAATACTTTATGCTGAGTGAACACCCGAGACATCTAGAAGAGAGCTGATAGACACGCAGTGTGGATATAAATAAGCTGTGATCTTAGGAGGGTCCTACCCGATTCTGCAAGCATCTTCACAGCCTTGGCCTTGGCCAGTTCCAAGGCTGTGACCCAGCGCTGCCGCTCCACTTCCGAGCTAGCCTTCAGATGGTAGGTCTGTGCACCCCCATTGGAAATGATGAAGTTGCAGGAGTCCTCCACAGTGATGTTGGCTGTGGCGAGGTTGATGGTACCACGGCAGGTGTGCCGCATTTCTGCCTTTGACCTGCAATAGGAGAGGGGACACGCTAAGTGAAGAAGTAGACTGTGGGTTACCTTTCATCACATTCCATTTCTTTAAAGAATCAAAGTCCTTTGAAAATCCAGTCCCTTTAGAATCAGCAAGTTCTAGTGGTGGCTCCCTAAAACTCAAGAAACAATCCGCAGAGATTTCCTCTCTTTTTTCCAGAGTTGAATGTCCCTGCTGATTGTTCCTCTCGCCTATACCTTTTTAATAATAGGCCTGACAGGCATACAACATATTAATTCACTGATTTTAAATGTGCAATTCTAGGACTTCAGTCAAACACATATGATTGTGGAACTTCCACCACCCTCAATCCCAAAGTTCCCTCAGGACCCTCTGCACACAGGAAATGAGTTTTTAACTTAATACGTTATAATTACAAAGAGCTTTACAAACCAATTTGCATAGCAAATTTCAAACAGGAGCCCCATTCACTAAGAGGAAGACTCGCTGCACTCTAATATACTGAAGCATCCCCACACTGTGAGTCCAGATGAGCACTGTGGCACCAGGCTTAGAATTACACTGTGTAAGTGTAAGAAAGCACACTGAACGGGTCAATAGCACACTTAGATGCTTAGTGTGTTTAATATTGGTTATGGCTCAAATGCTATGAAGTAGGTCTAACTCGGACTCCTGGTGTGGCACTGTAGGATAAACACTGGACTGCTAACCACAAGGTCAGCGGTTCAAACCCAGCAGCCCCTCAGAAACCCTATAGAGAGTTGTTATGAGGTGGGCACCAACTTGCTGGCACATCACACCACCAAGTATAAACTAAGAATACCTCTGAGGAGGTCAACAAAGAATAAGCACAAAAGGATCACCAGGTGTGATCATCTCTCTGAAATCTGTTCTCTCCTCAGGTCCACTGAGATCCGGTGGGTGGGGACTCCTAAGCCCTCCTATTAATAGCAAGTCTGTTCTCAGAAGGCTGGGTGTAAAAATATTCTCCACTGACTGACAGCTCTATTAATAGGCTAACTTTTGAACTTTACTTGATGACAACAAGCTGTAAGTCATTTTGCATACAAAAGTCAGGTTTCTAGCACAACTGAGAGTTGTAGAGTACAAGGTAAACTGATTTCCACATTGCCCTCTGGTTCTGCCCAGGGACCTGTATATTGAGACCACACTTTTTCCAGTTCAAGTTGGAACACAAAGAGGTCAAAGTCCTCTGCCAACTGCCACAGCCCAAAGCAGAGCCATTTCCTTTTCACTGGAGCCAAGAGGCCAAACACACCTGGCAGGTCCAGAATTCCTGCATGCCAGCATGGCACATGCCCCATCTCCAGAAACGAAGATGTGGTCTGTTTGAGGAAGTCTGTTTACTCTGCTTGGGAAGGCAGGTTTCCTGTTGTTTGATTTTTTTTCCACAAATGGAAAAATGAGCAATCTGGGAGAGTTGGGGGGTGGGGTCTCCTCAGACCCAGCCATTTTCCAACCCCTGCACCTGCCCTGCTGTAACATGACTCCAGGGTTTTTTTCTGCTCTAGCCTCCCATCCCCACCCTAGCTTCAGTTACATTATGAATAATGCAGGTTGGATTACAGACCCACAGTTGACAACCCAGCTCACCCTGGGTTTCTATTCCCAGGGTGCTACCTGGACTCTTCCTACCACATTCCTCCTTGCTGGCACTTTCACCAACCAACTTTCTGGAAATCTCTTCCACCTGGGCCATCTGCAGAAACTAAAGCCGTTTCTCAGCTCTTATAAAGAGCCCTGGGAGTGAATGAAGCAGGCTTGACCTTAGCGCTGTTGGATTCAGACAGAAACGCCTATGGTTATAAATGATTAATGGTGTGATCGATTTTCCAGGCACTGTACTATTAGGTGGTTGTCTTAGTTCTCTGGTGCTGCTACAACAGAAATCCCACACGTTGTGGACAGTGCCTTCCAGTTGTTTACACTCATAGCGACTCTGTATGGACTTACAGCGTTTCCAAGGCTTTTTAAATCTTTGTGGGAACAGAAAGAGTCACCTTTCTCCCGACCATAAGCAGGTGTCATTCATTAACACACAGGATTCTATTTTCTCAAAATGTAGCAGGTTACAAGTCCAAATTCACAGGGCTCACTCTATGGGTAGGCTTTCTGGCTCTTGCTTTCTGGCTCTGTCAGCTTTGATGGTGGTGCTTATGTGCCGTGGAGTCGGTTCCGACTCATAGCGACCCTGTATCTGGTTTCTGAGGCTGTAAATCTTCATGAAGCAGAAAGCCTCACTTTCTCCAGTGGAACTGCGGGTAGTTTTGAACTGCTGACCGTGAGATGAGCAGCCTGACTCGACACCACTACGCTAGCAGAGCTCTTTTTTTCCCCGATTTGGAGGCTATACGTCCAAATTCAGGGCACTGACTCTAGAGGAAGGCTTTTCTCTCTGTCATCAGTTTTGAGACAAGGTCCCTTGGCTCTTTTGGACTTCTGTTTCTGGATGATCTTCATGTGACATTTCTCTTCCCCTAGCTCTGCTTCCTTTGGTAAACCTCTTGTATCTCAAAACAAAGAAAAGTGACTCAAAATACACCTTACATGAACCATGTCTCATTAAAGTAACAAAGACAGCCCACTGCCAAGGATAACCCACTTCCATTGACCAATTCCAGCTCACAATGACCCTATATGAAAGGAGGAGTACAGAGCAGCTTCTTAGGGGTTCCAAGGTACAAACCTTTTCGGAAGCAGTCTCACCTTTCAACCTGAGGAGCGGCTGGTGGGTTTGAACTGCCAACCTTGTAACGACAAGCATATTATTTTTGTTAAGTGCCACGGAGTTGGTTCTGACTCAGTTACCCTGTATAGGGTTTCCAAGGAGTGGTGGTGAGTTTGAACTACTGACCTTGCAGTTCATACCAACCTTAATGTCCATCCAGTGCTTTATCCCACAGTACCACAACACATATTGGTGGGGGGGACATAATTCCACCTTTGGCCTTCAAAATTCATGTCCTGGCCACATACAAAGTAAGTCACCCCATATCGTCCCTCAAGTCTTAAATCAACACCAAGGCCAAAATCACATCTTTTGAATCACCTAAATCAAGTCTGGGTGAAACTTTAGATATTCCATCCTGAGGCATAATTCCTCTTCACCTGTGAACTCTACAGGCTGTCTCTTTCCAAAATGCAATATAAAACAGGCACAAGGTAGACATTTATTACCAATGGGAGAAGCTGAAGGGAAAGAAGGGATAACAGGCACCAGTGAACATTCTCTTTTCTGAGACCAGCTAGGCAGTGGCCCTGTCCCCTAGACCCTGGGCGTTGGCAAGTCACTCTGGGTTCTGGGTGGAGACCCATCAGGCCTGGGCTTAGGCTCGGCCTTCCAGGCTCTCTGGGATGGCAGCTCTGCTCCCTTGGCTTTATGTGGTCCCATTCTCCTAGTCTGTCTGAATGTCTGCGCAGCGACCACACCTCCTCGGCCCTAGCAAGCTGCATTCTTCTACCCTTAGCATGGTGGCCCATCTCCCAGCATATCTTGACAGCAGCTGCACACTTTGGAACCAAACTGGGGACTCTCTGATGCTAGGAGGAGGTTGGGGCCCCACCCATTGAACCCTAGAAGACCCTGCTTTCCAGGCTCCTTTCCACAGTTTTGCTCATCTCAGACCTGCTCCAGGAATGGGCCTTGTCTTTTCTTGGAGGACAACTGGTATAGCTCCTTTGGCCTGTTTCCTGTCTGTAGAACTAACTGTAAGAGGCAGACAGTTTCCTTTCATCTATCTCTGACCCCTTCAGCCTAAGCTGATGGGTCTTCTGTTGGTTAGATCCATCAGTCTCAGGCTTAATCTCTTCAACAAAAGATTGTGGAGCCACTTCCTTGGTGAATGTTCAAGGACACATGTCCATGGTATGTACAACAGAATTTTCCAAATCTGTAAGTTCCATTTTCAGTCCACCTTTTTCCTCTCACATCTTACTACTATACAGAGAAACCACACGGCCACCCTAAGATCTTGCTTAGAATTCTCATCAGCCAGATATCCAAGTTCTTCACGTTCAAGTTTTTTCTTCAAACATCTGAACATAAATCAGACAAGTTCTTACCACTGCATAAAAAGCATCACTCTTCCTTCCCAGTCCAACCACACAATCGTCATTTCCTTCTAAAACCTCACCAGCAGCACACTTAACATCCACATTCCTAGCAGCCTTCTGGTGCTGACATCCATGTATTCTGACAATAGAGACTTTTCTATAGCTCTCCTCTCTTCCTCCTGAGCCCTCAACAGACTTGCCTTTGATGTCTACAATCCTACCAATAGTCTCTTCAAGGCAATCTAAGCCTTTACTCCTAGGCACCTTAACACACTTTCCACACACCCATCACCCAATTCCAAAACTGAATCCACATTTGAGGTATCTGTTAGAGCAACACTCCACCCTTGGTATCAAATGCTTAATTATCTAGTGCTGCTATAACAGAAATATCAAACCAAGTGTTTTCTCAGTTTAAGCTAGAACTCCAAATACAGGGCGCTGGCTCTAGGGGGAGACTCAGTTCTGAAGGAGGCCCTAATTCTGTCTCAGTTTAGCTAGTGCTGTCATAACAAATACAAGTGAGTGGTTTAAACAAACAGAAATTTATTTTCTCACAATTTATTTTCAGAAGCCTGACTTCAGGGCAGTGGATCTAGAGGAACACTTTCTCAGTAGGCTCTGAAGGAAGGTCTTTGTCTCTTGAGTTTCTGCTCCTGGAATCTTCATGTGGCTTCTTCCTCCATCTCTGCTTCCTAGTTTGCTAGTTTCATCTCTTTTTTATCTCAAAAGAGAGGGACTCAGGGTACACCCTACATTAACTCTGCCTTCTGAACATAAAAAAGACGACCATCCTCAAATGGCGGCACAGTGGTAGGCACTGAGGTTAGGGGTTACAACACATATTTTTGGAGAAACATACCACAGCAGTATTTTCTGGCTAGAAAGTTCTTCCTGAAAATGCAAGCCCAAACAGTAATTCATTCTCTAGAAGCGGATCATGAAAAGTAATACTATGGTCTTACTTTTATACAAGTAATTCTACATGAGATTTCAAGGATTCTACATGAGATTTCAAGCAAACGGACAACTGTATAACTGAGTTCTGTTACAAAAGAGCAAGTCCATTAAGAGGGGGAAGTGGCTTGCTAAGTACTATTAGGAAGCTCAAGTGAGGATGGGTCTAGGAAGCATATGATCTCAGTTAAAAGGAAAGCAGTATTTTGAAACAGGCATTCATAGGAGGCCATAGGTTTTCAAGGCATGAAAAGGATGATGACAACTTGGAGGGAGGTGAAGAACCAGAAAAACTCTATCGGAAAGAATAAACTATTAATAGAGTAAGGAGCTCTGGTAGTGTTGTTGTTAAGTGCCGTCGAGTTGGTTCCGACCCATAGCGACCCTATATAGATAGGGTTTCTGAGGAGCGACTGGTGAGGTTGAACTGCCAACCTTGCAGTTCAATCGGCTTTGCAGTCTGGCGCATTAATCCACAGCACCATACCAGGTACTGATTCTGGTAGTGTAGTGGTTCTGCAATCAGTCTGCAAACCTCAAGGTCAGCAGTTCGAAACTACCAGCTGTTCTGCAGGAGAAAGATGAGGTTTTCTGCTCCCACAAGGATTTACAATCTCAGAAACCCTGTTCAGGGTTGCTATGAGTCGGAACTGACTCCAGGGCACATCACCACCACCAGAGTTAGCAGAAAGGCACTCTCTGGAAGCATAGTGATTACGAGTCAGGCTGCTAACCTCAAGGTCAGCAGTTCGAAACTACCAGCCATTCCGGGGGAGAAAGATGAGAGACTTTCTGCTCCCGTAAAGATTTACAACCTTGAAAACCCTATACAGGGTCACTGTGAGTTGGTACCGACTCTACGGTACAACCACCACTATACCACCATAGTTAGCAGAAATACTTAAATGTGATTCTAAGGGCAGCACACAGATTTGATAATTACGGATCCTATTGCTTGGATGGTTTGTGGGTGGTAGTATCTTAGCTGGCAAGAGCAAGCCTAAGGAGTATTTCTCAATACATGGTTTGGTATGTTTTGGAAGTTCTATCTGTAGTCAGGACATGTACCACTTCGTCTTTTGAGAATAAAGTTCAGAGTGGGTACAAGTACCTGAAGAGACAGCAACATACTTAAATGTCCTGGATCAGTACTGACCGAGACTAGTACTGAACAAAGAATCTACTGGCCTGAGTAAGAGCTTGGAGCAACTTTTGAGACTGGTGCACAGGTGCTAATATTGACTTATGAGTCAAGCCAGGATACAAAACAATTAAACGTAACAATGATAGTCAATGACAACAGAAAAACCTTAACAGTGGAAAAAACTGGGCTTTAGGGCAAGCTAAAAATTTCAGTTGTGACTTAACATTAACCTGGTAGTCTGGGATGGGTAGTTACAATGGATTCCAATTAAAATCAATTCTATATACAATAAATGCAAATGACATATATAACTGCTCATAATTAATGTTGCTTAAGGAGCTCTGGTAGCGTAGTGGTTACGAATCGGACTGCGAGCCACAAGGTCAGCAGTTTGAAACTAACAGCCGCTCCGCGGGAGAAAGATGAGGCTTTCTGCTCCCGTAAAGATTTACAGCCTCGGAAACCCTGTACAGGGTTGCTATGAGTCAGAACCGACTCCACGGCACATAACAACAACAACTACAATCAGTAAGGAGGAGTCCTGGTGTGGCGTTGCAGGATAAAGCACTGGACCGCAAGGTCGGCGGTTCAAATTCACCAGTTGCTCCTAAGAAACCCTACACAGGGTTGCTATGAGTCAGAACCAACTCGACAGCACGTAACAACAATCAGTAAGAAGGCAGTTAGTCCTGGGGTTACCAACTCCCAACTTACAGACAATTCATACTTGGCCTTTGATGTTATATAAATGGATCCTCGCTTTGAAATGATTACACCAATCCCTAACTCCTAGCAAATTCTTCATCACAGTTATCTTCACTTGTGCACATGCAGCTTTCAAATCAGTTAACTGACATAAGACTAATAAGAAATGTAAACATCTATTCCAACTTACCTACAAATTCATCTTAAAGACACAGCTAGGAACTATTTTGTTTGCAATCTGGGGTTTGTCTGTAATCTAAGGCCTTTTCCACAGTTAGAAGCCAAGGATGTGTTCCTATTTTAACAATCTTCAACTCCCACTTTCTAACGCCCCCTCAAAATAGAAAAAAGATTCCTTCACCCCTAACTCTACGCTAGTGAAAGAAAAGAAATCCAGATGAGTTGCTTTTAACATCAGCATTTTGAGGCCCAGATTTCTAAATAAATATTCTTTAGAAAGGTTTCGGTGAACAGGGTCATTAAACAGCCTCTCTCAAGGTGGATTGTACTTTTTGAATCAAATGCACATAGCAACCATGATCTACAAACTTATTTGCTACAAGTAAGTATCTCTGCATTCATGTAGCACTTATCTTGGTTTTAGAAGATGCTGGTGGGAACAGAAATAGTTTCAAATCCTGACTCCACTAGAACCTTGAGAAAGCTGCCTAGGCTGAATGTGAGTCCCGAAAGCAGTGGGATGGGACTATCTCTAACTCCTCCGCCCCTGTTAGAAGGCAATGGAATGCTAGGCAGGCAGTTACTGGGTCACAAATGGGATCAGTTTTTATATGTATTTTTAAGTTAAATTTGTAGGTAAATCAGAACAGGTGCATGTGGTTCTTAATTAGCCTTACTAATTAAGAGCAGGAGTCCTGTAGCACAATGGGTTAAGCACTGCACTGCAAATTGAAAGGGTGGAGGTTCAAATCCACCAGTCACTCGATGGGAGAAATGTGACAGTCTGCTTCTGTAGAGAGTCACAGCCTTGGAGCTGACTCTGCAGGGGCAGTTCTCCCCTGTCCTTTTGGGGTACTCTGAGTCTTTTCCATGATTTAAAAGCTGCACGTGATGCAAGTGAAGGCAGTTGTGATGAAGAATTAATCGTGAGCAGGGTGCCTTCATTTGTTTCAAAGCAAGGGCAAATTCACAGAACATGTAACAGCAAGTGTTAGCTTGCTGAAGTCAGACGTTTGTAACCTGGGAACTTACTGTGTGTGAAACACCTAAGCACCCTGTGCAGCCCTCAGGAACTGTTGTCCTATTCCCCACATACATTAACCTCCACCTACAGTAACATGGAGTCCTGGTGTGGCGCTGGGGGTTAATGCGCCAGACTACAAAGCCGTTTGAACTGCAAGGTCGGCGGTTCAAGCTCACCAGCTGCTCCTTGGAAACTCTAGACAAGGTCGTTATGGGTCGGAACCGACTCTTCGGCACTTAACAACAACACCGTAACATGGAGTCCTGGTGTGGCGCTGTAGGATCAGCACTGGACTCATAAGCGCAAGGTCAGCAGTTCAAACCCAACAGTTACTCATACGGTTGCTATGAGCCGGAACTGACTTGATGGTACCCAACAAACAGCACGGTAACACGAGTAGCCGAAAGGACCTTATAGTGTACCAGCAGGCCAGGCTGTGAATCACCATAAACAACATCTCACATAAAGACTAGATGAGAAATTGCCACAGTCAGGACACGGATGATTTCACGACACTACATTCTAACTAACCAATGGGAACCCAGAAACGCTGTACAGAATCCACAATCATTTCCAAGGGACCAAGAGACGCGTGAGCAAGAAGAGGCACTGGCACGCACAACTCCATGCTGGGCAATTCAGAAGGCAAAAGAAACCACAGGTAAATCCTGGAGAGACGTAAGCGGGACAAAATACCAAAGCCACACGGCTGATGGTGTGCTGGTGCCTGCAATGTGGGTCCATCAAGAGCGCACGACAGCCTTGAAGTTGGGAGTGTGGGTACGAGAGCTAAGACTGGGGACTTTACTCTAAGTTCCTTCGGGCCAGCGGCTGAGTTCTGCTCTTTGGCACCTACGACAGAGCCGCCCTGAAGCATGAATAAGTGCACGATGTAGAAGTGGACGCTCCACGCACAACCGCTGATCCGAAAGGCCAGTAGACGTGGGAGATGGGCTAGGTTGACCCTGGGGGCGGACAAGTTCTGGGGTTTGGACTTTGGTGATGGTGGGCGCGGGGCACGGGCTGACTGTCGGCGCTAGTGGTACCAATGGGCCCGGGGCGACCTTGGCCGTCGGCGAGGTGGGGTCCTGCGCCCCGGAAGCAGTTACCTGTAGTAGCTCAGGAGCCCGTTGCTCAGCACGAACCAGCGCCGCTGGTAGCCTTTGATGTAATTGGTCCATTTGAAGAGCCAACCT